CCAGCACCCATGTCAGGTGACTCACAACCACCTATAACTTCAGTTCCAGGGAATCTGATGGCCTCTCCTGGCCTCCGCAAGCACTGCACCCAAATAGTGCACATACAGACAAGCAGGCATGCATACATACACATACTGGAATGGAGGCAGGAGGATCAGGAGTTCAAGTTTATCCTCTGCTGTATATCGAGTTCAAGGCCAACCTGGGCTAGAGGAGAGAACAGTGAGCACTGACAGTGGTATAGCTTGGTGGGTGAAGTGTTTAGCATGCACAGGGCTCTGGGTTTGAGTTTCAGCACTTTAGGAATGAAAAAGAGGGTGAGGGGAAAGAGTCAGCAGGGGACAGGCTGCGAGGAGCCTTGGATGTCTCTGTGCAGGTGCTGTGGGGAAGAGTTTCGTCAGGCTCTGAAAGGTTCAAGCACAAGGCCACAGCCTTCTGCACCTGGCAGCTGTCCGTGGAGACAAAAACTTCTCCACTATCCTGTGACTGTTAATGGAAGATCACAATGTTTCCTGAATTCATGATCTTGCTTCAGATGATAGAATGAGACCTGGAGGCAGGTGGTTCTGTGGAGTCCCCTCCTGCCACAGCTCTCAGACGTCAAGACCCTTCTGTGTGGCCTCAGGTCTTGGGTTGTGCCACACACTGCAGGCGCTTTCTGGAACTCCTTGAGGAAACTGAGGCCCAGGGAGTGTACAGTCAAACAGTGTTGAGTTTAGGATTTGAATCCAGATCTGGGTGCTTCTAGAATACCAACTTTCTTTACCACTTTACTCCAGAATTTTCCCACCTGGTTCTGTGCTAACTTGGATACCTGGGCAGGGCGACCGTGGTATTTGTTGGTTGGTCGTATTTCTGTTTTGAACTCTCTGCATAGCCCAGGGTGGCCTGGAACTCTCAATCCTCTTGACTCAGCCTCCCGAGTGCCGGGATTCTAGGCATGCCCTGCCACTTATTCCAGATACAACTTGTTTGAGCCCCATTCCACCCCCACCCCCCACCTTCCTCCTTGTCATAACCAGAGTTGCACAACCCTGTTCACTTATTTATTTTATTTATTTTGTGTCTGTGCACGTGTGCCTGTGCCAACACGTGCCATGGAGCAATGTGGAGGTCAAAAGACAACTTTTGGGAGTTGATTCTCCTTTTCTACCGGGTTCTGGGGATCAAACTCAGGTCACTAGGCTTGGCCAGGATTGGTAGCAAGCACCTTTTACCCACTAAGCCATCTCACCCACCCTGCTTTGGCTATTTTTATAACTGTTTCTTAATCCTTTTGTCAAGAAGGGAGCTTTTGGGGTTGGTGAGATGGTTTAGCAGGTAAAGGTGCTTGCAACCAAGGCTGACTACCTGAGTTTGAGTCTAGGAATTCACTTGGTAGAGAGAGATAACTGATTCTTACCAGTTGTCCTCTGATCTGCATACATGGGTGGTGGCATATGCATCTAGAGAGAGGGAGGGAGGAAGGGGGAGAGAGGAAGAGAGAGAGAGAGAGAGAGAGAGAGAGAGAGAGAGAGAGTTTTTTAAAAAAGAAGCCCTTGATCTTGGGACACAATTATTTTTTTAAATATTTTATTTATTATTTTCTTTTATGTGTATGAGTGTTTCGCCTTCATGTAGGTAAGTGCACAGTGTCATACAATGCCCATGGAGGTCAGAAGAGGGCGTCGGATCCCCTGGAACTAAAGTTACGGATGGTTGTTAGCTACCTTGTGGGTGCTGGGAATCAATCCCAGTCCTCTGCAAGAGCAACCAGTGCTCTTAACCTCTGAGCCATCTGTCCAGCCCTGGGACACAACTCTTTGGACCACTAAATGTGGGACACACTGGCTCAGGCCCACTGAGCAGTTAGACTCAAGAGTAATCATTGAAAGCTGCTAGTTATTGGTGCTGACAGATTTATTGCCCTTCAACACCCACCAGTGTGGTTGGATCCAGTTATGGAACTAACTCCAGTGGATAGGTTGTGAGAGGAAGTCCAGAATTACTTCCTGTTGCATTATTGCAAGACCCAGCACTTCCTGGATCCTTACCACCAGCGCTGTGATTTCCAACCAATCATTTAATAGTTTACTTAACACCCTCAGGTCTCTCAGTCTGGCCCGGTGTTGTTGGAAATTGTGGCCGCCCCATCCACCTACCTCACTTTGCCCACCTCACTTCATGATTTACGATGATGTCTATACAGCTGAAGTGGGTGTATAGTGAATGAGAAAGAAACCTTTGACTTTAAGCCACTTTGCCTTATGGGTATGATGACATCATTAATCTATTCCAGCCGTGACAAAATCAGATATTAAACACAACTACTGCTGGGCATGGTGGCTCTCACCTGTAATCCAAAGACTCAGGAGGCTGAGGCAGGAGGATTGTGAACTTGAGGCCAGCCTGAGCTACACAATAAGACCCTGAAAAAACACACCAAACAGGCTGGCGAGATAATGCTGGGTAAAGCACTTGCCACCAAGCCTGACCACCTGAGTTCAATCCCTGGACCCATATGGCGATAGGAGAGAACTGACTCCCACAGGTTAACCTCTGCCCTACATATGTGTGCTGTGTCAACACATATACACAGGTAAATAAATAAATGTAATAAAAAGACTTTTTTCTGTTTTTTATTAAATTTTTGTGAATTTCATGCAGTAGTTGGGAATACAGCTCAGTGGTAGAACACTAGCCTAGCATGCTAGGAAATATTTAGAGGGCTTTGAAAATCCAGAATAGATACTTAACCAAGTGTGGGAATCAGAGACTTCAGCAGGTTTCAAAACAAGGCGTGGAGGACGATTTGCATAGTGGTCAGGCTGTGTTAGTCAGGGGTCAGGTCAGAGGACCTGGGGAAAGTCATGCAGGAAGTTCCAGCTTGAAGCTGCAGCCCAGCTGGCCACAGTCCAAGATTTCCTGTTCCCCATTCCCAGCTTGGTCAGGAGCTCCTCCCTTCTCTCTGCCTGGGTTTCCTCCCTGCGGGGGGTGGGGGGTGGGGTGGTGGTGGTGACACCTTAGCAAGTGTACCATCTTTTTTTCTCTCCATCATCCAGTTGGTTATCTTTGCATGGGAAACAAGCTCAGAATAAATCTTGAAAATCCTGAAACTTCTAGTCTCTTTAAAAGGCTTTGGGGGCTGGAGAGATGACGCAGCAGTCAAGAGCACTTTTTATTCTTTCAAAGGACTGGGTTCAGTTCCCAGCACCCACATCAGGTGGCTCACAGTCACCTGTTAACTCCAGCTCTAGGGACTCTAACACCCTCTACTGGACTCTGGGTACCAGCATTCACATGCCCCAATCCATAGGCACATACACATAATTTTATTAGTCTTTTTTTTTTTTTTTTTGAAACAGGGTCTTCCGTAGTCCCAGCTGGACTGGAACATACTATGTAGACCAGACTGGCCTTGAACTCACAGAGATCTGCCTGCCTTTGCCTCCCAAGTTCTGGGATTAAAGGTGTGCATCACCATACCCAGCAATATAAACATAATTTTACATTAGCCACCATGTGGCTGGTAGGAATCGAACCCGGGTCCTCTGCAGTAGCAGCCAGTGCTCTTAGCCACTGAGCCATCTCTCCAGCCCCCCAAGATGGCCTTTTAAGAGAGTTTTAGGGGCTGATGAGATAGCTCAGCATATAAAAGTGCTTACCACCAAGACTGATGACCAAAGTTCCAGCCCCAGCGCACAAGTAGCAGAAGCAAAAAACTGATTCTCACAAGTTGCCCTTTGACACCCACACATGGGCTGTGGCATGTGGCACAGATGGACGCACACACACAAATAAAAGTTACTTTATTTTAATTACATTTCATTTATCTGTGTGTGTGTGTGTGTGTGTGTGTGTGTGTGTCACAGTGCACACATGAAGGTCACAGGACAACCCGCAGGAATCGGCCCTTTCCCTCCACCATGTGAATCCCAGGAATCACACAGTTTAGCAACAGGTGCGTTTGCCTACTGAACAATTTCAACAGATACTATTTTAAGATTTAAAATTACAGCCAGGCGGGGTAGTGCACGCCTTTAATCCCAGCACTTGGGAGGCAGCTGTGAGTTTGAGGCCAGCCTGGTCTACAGAGTGAGAACCAGGCCAGCTGGGGCTACAGGGAGACCTTGTCTCAGAAAAGACCAAAAAGGAGAGAGAGAGAGAGAGAGAGAGAGAGAGAGAGAGAGAGAGAGAGAGAGAGAGAGAGAGATGGGAGATGGGAGATGGGAGATGGAAACAAGAGAATTCCTGGAATCTTACAGGCCAGCTAGTTTAGTTTGGCAGATGCAGTGGAGATGAGATGTTGTCTCAAATGAGTGCAAGGTGAGGACTGACACTCAAGGCTTACCCTTGACCTTGGCATGTGCCCCATACCATGTGCGCATACACACATACACACCATGTGCACTTTTTAATCATTGGGCAGACACACCTGAGGGAACTATGGGCTGGCAGGTGCTGCCTCAGCAGGACAAGGGGGACAGGGACTCAAGTCCTCGAGGAGCTGCCCATGAACACATTAGAACATAGTTTACTTAGATGTAGTTTCTAGAAGTGTGCCTTGTATGAGAGGCAGATGGATCAGGTCTGCACATCTGGGGGTCTGTAGTGTGAGATTTTTGTGTTTGGTTTGGTTTGGTTTTTGTTTTTTTAAGACAGGGTCTCCCTGTAGCCCCAGCTGTCCTGGAACTCACTTTGTAGACCAGGCTGGTCTTACAGATATCTGCCTGCCACTACCTCTTGAGTGCAGCGCTGGGATTAAAGGGACACCTGGTTCTGTGTCCCTTTCCACCTAGGCAGTTCTCTGGGAACCCCTCTCTGAGCCCTGAGGAGGGCAGAGCCTCCTAGGCTAGCTGAGACTCTGAGGTCTCCAATCCTCTCAGACCATCTTTCCCATCACAGGAGGAGGAGGTTGCTGATTCCCCAGCTCCAAGTAGCCCCCGGGGTGTGTTGTGTAGCCGAGAGACATGGTGCTGTGCCCACTCAGTCTCACTCTTGGCCCTGACTCTATCTCCAGGTGGAGAAGAGGGAGACAGAGCTTCTGGACACACTGGACAAGGAGCAAAGGATCCTGGAAGGACGGCAGGAGGAGGCCGGGCCAGGTGAGGATGGAGGCCCCTCCGGGAAGAATACAGGGGCTCCTCCTGTTTCTTCAGCTGTGGCCACCCAGAGCTCTTACTGTCCCCTGCCCCTGCCTCCAGGAGCAGCCCACAGCGCCAAAGCTGGAGTTTATGGGGTCCTTGGCCTTAGAGGGGTGAAGGAATTTTTCTTTAGGGTTAGCGTTTACAACTAGAACCATGCTTTGTTTGCCTTTATTTGACACCCCTCCTTTCCCCTTTATTTTTTATATTTATTTTATGTGTATGAGTGTATTGCCTGCATGTATGAAAGTGCACCCATATCATGCAATGCCCTTGGAGGTCAGAAGAGGGTGTTGAATCCCCTGAAAATGGAGTTAGCTGCCATGTGGGTGCTGGGGATTGAGCCCGGCTCTTCTGCAAGAGCAGTCAGTGCTCTTAACCATCTCCCCAGCCCAGCCCTTCCTGTTTTAAAAGCGATACATATTCGCTACAGGAAATCTAGGAACCTTAGGTAGGCATGGCGGCACACACCTGCGACCACAGCACTTGGGAGACAGTGGCAAGAGGATCAGGAGTTCAAGGCCCGTCTCCTTTACACATGAAGTTAGAGGTCAGCCTGGGCTACCTTTCAGTAAGGGAGGGCTTGGGATGGAGAAAACCTAGACAAATAAGAACACTTTTATTTTTGGTGGTGGTGGTAGTGGTGGTGGTGGGGTTTTTTTGTAATTGAATTTTTGTGCATTTCATACAGAAAATCATCTTTATACCTCCTGCCCCTTTGGCACCCTCCCATAGCCCCCACTGAAGTTCATACATTTTGTTATATGTGTTAAGGCCTGTCATGTAGTTAGCGTCCCCAGATGTCCCTCAGTGCAAGTTCATCTACTAGGATCTAGTCAGCCTATTTAGTCAGTTTAAGAACATCAGCTCTTCCTCACCCAGCAGTAATCAGCTGCCAATAATTCTAAGATTGCAGCCGGCTGTCCATTTCCACAGCTCTGTGCTGGGTTTTTGTCTGCTTGTGTTTGCATGGGTCTTGTGCATGCTGACACCATTGCTGTAGGTTTGTATGAAAAAGGGTCCCAGGAGTCTGCAGGACTATCTCCATATGGTCATGTACCTCCTCCCTGTCTCTTGCAATCTTTCCACCCTCTCTTCCGAAATGGTCCCTGAGCCCTGGAGGGGTGGATTTTAATACAGGAGTCCTGTCCAAGGACCCCCCTCTGCAGTCTTATTCTATGTGTTTTGGTGACCTTTTGTGTTCCTGGCCCTCTGTTGTATGAGGGAGCTTCATTGATGAGGGAGCTTCATTGATGAGGGAGCTTCATTGATGAGAACTGAAAGATCATTAGTGTTCTCTTCATCCCTTGTTCTATGTTCCATGAGCCTTAGGTGTAGAGGTTGCATCCTAGATGTGCCACTTAGGCTTGGGCAATTCATAAATTCACAGTCTCTGTGTGTGACCAATTGTGGAACTCTGTAATTATCACTGTCTCTTGAAAAAGAAGCTTCTTTAAGGTCACTTTTTCATAACCACCTTACATGCCTACAGTGATAATTCTTAAAAATTGTGGTTTGTACGGCTGGAGAGATGCTTAAGCTGTTAAGAGCACATACTGTTCTTCTAGAGGACCCGTTTTGTTCCCAACACCCATATGGTTGTGACTGCAGCTCCAGGGGGATCCAGTACCTCCATGCTTGTGTGCACACGCATGTGCATGTACACACACACACACACACACACACACACACACTTTAATACAAATAAATCTTTTTAAAAAAATTATAGCCAGGGAGCAAGAAAAATAGATCAGCAGTTCAAAGTACTGGCTGCTCTTTCAGAGGACCCAGGTTTGGTTCCCAGCACCAACATAATGGCTAACAATGTCCTCAACCCCAGTTCTAGTGGCTCTGACATCCTCCTCTGGCCTTCACAGGTCCTGCATGCCTTTGGTGCGCACATGTACATGCAGGCAAAACACTCATACACATAAATAAAATTAAATAAAAAATTGTTGAAAATATGGCTAGGGTGGGGCTAGGGAGATGGCTCAGTGGGTAAAGCATTTGCTACACAAGTGTGAGATCTTGAGTTCAGATTCCCCAGAACCAATGTAAAGACGGACACTATAATGAGCATCTGTGATCTGAGTACTCCTATGGTGAGATGGGAGACAGAGACAGAAGAGTCCTCAGAAACTCAGGCCAGTGAGCCTGGATTGTGCAGTTCCAGACAAACAACCCTGTCTTCAGACAAGGTGGAAGGTAAGGATTTGACTTCCACGTGGGTGTGTGCTCAGAACACACACATACACACACGCACGCATACACGCATGCACATACACACAAAGATTTTAAAAATTATGAGCCCAGGGAGGTAGTGCACACCTTTAATCCCAGCACTTGGGAGGCCAAGGCAGAGGCAGATCTCTGTGAGATCAAGGCTAACCTAGTCTACATAGTTCCAGGCCAGCTAAGGCTACTGGAAGACCCTGTCTCAAAAAAAAAAAAAAAAATTAGGTCTAGGACAGCCAGCCATAGTGGCTCACGCCTTTAATCCCAACACACAAGACAAGAGAATCACTATGAATGCAAGGCCAGCCTGGGCAATATAGTGAGTTTAAAGTCAACTGAGATACTTAGCAAAACCCTTTCTCAAAAAAATTAGTCAAGGGGCTGGAGAGATGACTCAATAATCAAGAGCACTGGTGGCTTTTGTAGAGGACCTGGGTTCAGTTCCCATAATCCTCATGGAGACTAATAACGATCCTTAACTCTAGTTTCATGGGATCTGATACCCTCTTCTGGCCTCTGCAAGCATTGCATACATGTGGTGCACATACATACATATCATTCATACACGTAAAGGCACGTGGTACATGCCTTTAATCCCAGAACTCAGGAGGCAGAGGCAGGCAGATCTCATGAGTTCAAGGCCTGCCTGTTCTACATAGTGAGTTTCAGGCCCGCTGGAGCTACAGGGAGACCCTATCTCAAAAAAAAAAATTAATTAAAGTAAAATTTTAAAACTGTCATCACAAATGTGATCATGGAAAAAATTTAAGCTACAAATTAATCAGAATATGGTGTAAACATAGAGGTCCAGGCCTCCTCTGGGGCTGCTGCCCTTGGGCTTCAGTGCCAGCTGGCTCCCCACTCACCAGCTGTATGACCCAACCATATGACCTTGACATTATCTCCCCTCCTCACAGGGCCTTTGAGATCTAAACAACCAAATGAAATTTCTGCCACATGGACTGGAGAAGTGGCTCAGTGGTTAAGAGCACTGACTGCTCTTGCAGAGGACCCAGGTTCAATTCCAGGCAATCCAACTCCCTCTTCTGACCTCTGTGGGCACTGTACTCACACACACACACACACCTAAAAATAAAAATAATCTTTTCCACATTCATATTTTTAATAATGTAGAATTGGCATGGCCAAATTTTATATACATATATAATATATATACATTATATAATATATATTCCTTCAGATTGGTAGAATACACATAAGATTTACCATGAATGATATTAAACATCCACAATTAATGCAACCATCGCTACCACCCAGTTCCAGTTCACCCCCCAAAGAAACACCCTTCAATGGTCATTCCTTATCCTCCCATCAACCTCTGGCAACTGATAATTTCTCTCTCCCTGTGGCCTTATCTGTCGGGAACACTCATATAAATGACATCAGGGATCCTGTGCATCCTTCATGCCTGGCTTTCTACCCAGCAGGATGTTTCCATGACATAACATAATCTGACTCCACTCCTTTATATGGCTGAGTAATACTCCACTGAATGGACATACCATCCCTCATTTACCTAGTCATCATGACATGGATACCTACACCGCCTCTCCCTCCAACCACTGTAAGTGGTGTCACCAGCCCAAGCGCTCTCTGGGACAGCTGTCTGCATTTCACCTTGCTGAACATGCAGGAGGAGAGCAGCTAAGGTATATGGAATCTCTGTACTAGTCTTTTGAGAAACGCCTTAAGTCTTCCATGGTGGCTTTCCTCCTCTGTTCTGTGACCTCACTGCTGTCGTCACCGTTGTCATTCTGAGGAGGCTGAGGTGGCATCTCCCTGTGGTTTTCATTTGCATTTCCCTAATGATTAATTTTGTTAAGCCTATTTCATGTGCCTGTTGCCCATAGGTACATCTTCCTGTGATTTTCCATGACCTTGTTACGTCATGACAGTCAGTATGAAGTAGGACTGCCTTGTGGATGTTTGCTTGCTTGCTTGTTTTTGGTTTGTTGTTTGAGACAGACTCTCACTATTAACTATAGACCTAAGCTGGCTTTTAGTCATGGTGATCCTCCTGCCTCAGCTTCCCAAGAGTGGGAATTACAGGCATGTGGCATCTCACCCAGCTAGTTTGTTTGCTTTTGGGACACTAAGCCAACCGGCCTGGCCTCTGTCTCCTGATACCACGCCTGGCTTATTGGGCATTTCCCTAACCACCGATCTGTCCAGTGATTTCCTGTGTGCACTTTGACAATCTGTATGGCTTCTTCAAAATGGTCAAACCCTTGGATTTGCCCTTAAAAATGCCAGCACAGATTTTTCCCTGTCAGCACTTACCTGATGCTTCCCCAATTATTTATTTTAAAAGCAATCATGGTCATAGGTAATTTATATGCAAATTATATAACCCGCCCTCTTCTTGGATTTTTCCTAAAGATTTATTTATATATTCTTATGTATGAGTGTTATGCCTGCATGTATGTAGGTGCACCCTTGTCATACGGTGCCTGCAGAGGACAGAAAAGGGTGTTGGATCCCCTTGAACTGGAATTACAGATGGTTAGCCATCATGTCAGTGCTGGGATTTGAACTTAGATCTTCTGCAAGAACAGCCAGTGCTCTTAACCACTGGGCCAGCTCTCCAGCCTCTATGTTTTTTACTTATGTATGTGTGTGTTGTGTGTGCAAGTGCATGCAGAGGCCAGAGGAGGGTGTTGAACCCCTGGGGTTGGAGTTACAGGTGGCTGCGAGCTGCTCAGTATAAGTGCTAGGAACTAGACTCAGGTCCTCTGTAAGAGCAGTGTGTGCTCTTAACTGCTGAGCCATCTCTCCAGCCCGTTTTTTCATTTAACATTGTATCAAACAATGTTAAATGAGTACATGGTTATAAAAACGCTTATGATAGCTAAACCAGTGACTCAGGCCTTTAATCCCAGCACTCGGGAGGCAGAGGCAGGCAGATCTCTGTGAGTTCAAGGCCAGCCTGGTCTACATAGTGAGTTCCAGGTCAGCTGGGGCTACAGGGAGACCCTGTCTCAAAAAATAAGACCAAAAAAAAGAAAGCTAAATCAGGCCAGGCATGGTTGTTCATACCTACAGTTTCTCTGTAATCCTAACACTTGGGAAGCTGAAGCAGGAGGATCACAGTGAATTTGAGGCTAGCTGGGCTACAGTGAGAACTTTTTCATAAAAACAAGTCTAGACCGTAACTTAAGTGTGTTTGCTTGCTGTGAGTCCAGACATCCGAATTTGACTCCTGTAAATGATTTGCCTCATTCCTTAATTCCCAGAAATAGAGTGACTGGAATAGAGGTCCCTACAAGTTTGGAACTCTTAAAATCCATTGCAACACTGGCACAGAACTTTGGAAAGAGAACTAGAACCCTGCCGAGGAGCCTAAAGTCTGGCCAACACCCGAGGGCCCGCCAGAGCTACTGCTCAGGAGGCTCACCAACTTCTCCACCCATGAGGCTTTTGGGAAGTCCTATTCTCACAGCTTTGATACTATTTTTGCACAATAAATACATTAACACAAAGTACCATACCATAAAACCTAGAATGGAGGCCTATCTTGGATTCTTCCCAATGGTCAGAATTCCTTTATAGTTTTGTGTTTTGTTTTGGTCCTTTGGGGACAGGGCCACCATGCCCAGCTATCCTTTATGGTTTTACATGTTTTATTATTACACTTATTTGTGTATGCGTGCCACATCATATGCATGGAGATCAGAGTGGGATTTCATGTGTGGACCATCATACCAGGTTTATGTGGTGCTGGGGATCAAACTCAGGGTCTCCTGCATGTTGGGCTGCACCCCAGCCTAGGATTCTTGGTTTTGTTTGCTGGTTCCATGGCACGTCAGATTCTGGTCTTCTCCCCTGACCTGCTGCCACCGGTTACTTTCAGGCTTTGCAGTGACGGCCCCGTTCACTGTGTACTTCACAACAACCATCCACCCTTGGTGAGGGGGTATGCTGCGGGGGGGGGGGTTAGTTTCAACCATCCCTACCTGGAGCCAGAGTGGGTCTTGAAGGGCAAATTAGAGAATGCCATGCTTTTAAAAAACTGGGGATGTATGAGGTTGGAAAGAGGGCTCAGAAGTTAAGAGCACTGGCTGCTCTTACAGAGGACTCAGGCTTGGTTCCCAGCACCCTAGCACATGGCAACTAACAACTGTCTACATCTCCAGTTTCAAGGGATCTAATGTTCTTTTCTGGTCCCCATGGGCATTGCATGCATGGGTGCACTTACATGCATGCAGGCAAAACACTCATATACATAAAAAAAATAAATATTTTTTTTGGTCTTTTTGAGACAGGGTCTCCCTGTAGCCCCAGCTGTCCTGAAACTTACTATGTAGACCAGGCTGGCCTTGAACTCACAGAGATCCACCTGCCTCTGCCTCCCGAGTGCTGAGATTAAAGGCATGTGCCACCACGCCCTGCAAATAAATAAATTTTAATTAGGATGCAGCCAGGCATGGTGGCACTCACCTTTAATCCCAGCACTCAGGAGGTAGAGGCAGGTGAATCACTGTGAGTTTGAGTCCAGCCTGGACTACAGAGGGAGTCCCAGGTCAGTCAGTAGCAAGACTGTCTCAAAACTAAATAAACAAAAAAGTTAGGGGTGTAGCATTTATACAACTAATCCTAGCCGTTTTGACATTAGTATGTGTGTGGTGGATGTGTGCACATGTGTGAGGGTGTGTACTCCTGCATGTATATTCAGACACCAGAAGTCAACTTTGGGTCTCTTCCTGTGTCAGTCTTCTCCTTATTTTTTTTCAGACAGGGTCTCTTACTGAACCTGAAGTGTCCCAGTTAGGCTAGCCTGACTGCCAGCAGGGTCTCCTGTCTCCCAGCCTTGGGGTTACAGACCCACACTGCTGAGCCTGGCTCTTATCTGGTCCCTGGGGTCTAAACTCAGGTTCCCTGCTTATATAGCAAATCCTTTGCCCACTGAGCCATCTCTCAGTTCCTCCTCCTCTTCCTCCTCCTCCCTCCTCTTCCATCCTTCCTTCTTTCTTTTCTTTACCTTAAACATATTGATTTGGGTTTTTGAGATGGGGGTTCTCACTCTGTAGCCCAGGCCAGCCTTGAATTTCTGGTGATCTTCCTACCTCAGCCTCCCAAGTGCTGGGATTACAGACAAAGGGCCTCGTGTCTGGGTGAACCCTCTATTCTGTGACCCTGCTGCCCTTCACCTGGCTTTTGGCTATATTAACCACCCCTCTCTCCAGTTCCCTCTGCTCTATTTCTCTACCTTGGCCATTTCCAGATGGTCTTCTTCCTGTTGAGAGAAGGTGGGAATTTTCCTAAGGGAATTTGTGAGGGAGGTGGAATGAAAGCTGTATCTGGATAGATGCTGAGATTAACACACTCCCAGCTCTGTGCAGCACAGCCCCATCTGGGAAGACCTGGCAGGTCTCTCTGCTCTGGGACCCTGCAGTTGGCCCTTAGAAACAAACAGGGTAAGTTTTGAGGCCATTTCACAGTTGAGATGACTGGACTCTGAGTTGCCTGCTGTCATCTTCTCAAGGTCTCTCAGTTTTGAAGAGGCAGAGGCAGGACCAGGTGGATTCCTGCCACCAGTATACCGTCCTTACCGTAGCATTGTATCTTTTGTGATTTCATGGCCCAGCATTGTCCCATGCCAGGCCCCTGGTCTCATGTAGCAGAACAAAGTCAGGCCTGCTGCAGGATCCTCGCATCGGAGCCTTAAGGACCTCTGAGTGATCCCCAGGCTCTGGTAGTTCCTTCCCAGGTTGGAATTTGTATCCATTTCCACAATCTTTGTTAAACTCCTAGCATGTTGCTATGATAAAACACTCTGACCCAAAACAGCTTAGGGGAGGAGTTTACTTGGCTTATGAGCCAGGTAACAGTCCCTGCTAGAGGGACATCAGAGCAGGAACTCAAGGCAGAAGCCGTGGAAGAGTGTTGCTTCCTGGCTCTGTTCGGGGTCTGAAGAATTCCCTAAATTGACCACTTGGACACTGAGACTCAGGAGAACTTAACTGCTTTATTGAGACCGACCGGCTGGGGACACAGGCAGGCTCGGGAGCTGCACTGTGACCCAGAGCTGTGGAAATGCAGGGCTTTTAAGCACAAAAGCTGCAGAGCAGGGGATTTCTCCTTCAGCTCAATGTCTGACTTGCTCATTTCACCAAGCTTAGCTAGCTTTCTTAAACAGCCCAAGACCACCTGCCTAGGAGTGGCACCCCCATGATGGGCTGGGTCTTTTCACTCAACTGGCAATCAAGACAGTGCCCCACAGACCAACTAATTGAAGTTCTCACCCAACAGCAAGAAGGAAGTAGAAGACTGTCCCCCAGCTCCTGAGTTTGATGGGTCCCAGTCGATCAGGGGCTTGCCAGAGGCTTTCAGGGGAGTGTCTGAGCTTACCATGATCTACTTTTCCCACAGTCCTCCAGACCTCATATGAACAGGAGAAAGATGCTCTTACCAACTCATTCCAAGAGACTAAAGCCCTGTTGCAGGTGAGAAGGGCCGGGCCATGTCAGTCTCAGGAGTGGGCAGTAGAGGGTTGGCAAGGACGTGCATAGAGCCCCGAAGCATCCATAACTGAGTTCTGTGGGCTATAAGGGGCTGGAGATCCTGTTTTCCCTATGTCCATGTGTGATGCCCAGTTAGCCAAGGGGACTTGGTTCGACAATACAGTTGGCCTATACTTCCAGTGATGCTCAACTTTAATTGTCAACTTGACAACCTAGAATCACCTGGGAAGAGAGCCTCAGTGAGGGACTGTCTGCCTTGGGTTGGCCTCTGAACATGCCTGGAAGGGGACGGTCTTAATTAAATTATTGATGTGACCCAGCCCAGTGTGGGTGGCACCATTCTGTAAGCACAGGGTCCTGAGCAGCATAAACAAACTGAAAACAAGCAAGAGGTTGGGTTTGTGTCACTCCTCCCTCTGCTCTTGACTGTTTGAAGTTCCTGCCTTGACTTCCCCACAGTGAGGGGCTATAACTGAGAACTGGGACCTAAATTAACCCTTCCTCCCCTAAGTTGCCTTTTATCGGGCTGTTTTATCACAGCGACAGAAATGAAACGAAAACATTTCCCAAGGACTATAGGTAAGATCTTGGAGAGGGCATGGACTTCTGTTACGATGAGCTGGTAGGGAGAAGACCCAGGGACCTATGGGATCATGAAAGCAGGTGTTCCACTCAGGAGACACTTCCCAGAAGGAATAGGGCTAAGCCAGAGCCTAGAAGGTAGGCTGGAAAGGTAGGCTGGCTTCAGTGAGAAAGGGCAGGAAGGAAGCTTGAGGCAGAATCAAGCAGCTTGCTGGGAAACATGGAGGAAGAAAAGGAAAACATGGGATGTCTGAGGAACTGAAGGAAGTCAAGGATGCCAGGGATGTGAGGGGGCCAAGGAGAGACAACGGCCTCAGGGCAGAAGCCTGGGAGCCATGAGGAGAGGTTGGCCTCTGCCGCAAAGGGACTACCCAAGGAGATACCGCTCAGTGGGCAATTTCGAAGACAGGGCACTCTGTGATTGAAGTGTGATGTGATGCTGAGCCACTAGATACACAGGAGCAAAGGACCCCGGCATAGCTGGGTATCAAATGCAGGCTGACGCTGGCCCTGAATGCCAGGACGTCATCCCAAGAGTTTGGAGAACTCTATTTGTGACTCTTCTCGTTGCTGTGACCAAATATCTGACCAGAAGCAGCTGAAGGAAGGACAATGGTCTGAGTCAGTCCATTAGGGCAGGAAGGCATGACAGCAGGAGCAAGAGGCAGCTGATCACATGGAGTCCCCAGTCAGAAAGCAGAAAGGCAGATGCTGGTGCTCAGCAGCTTGCTCTTTTTCATTCAGTGCAGGCCCCCAGCCCATGGCATAGTGCTGCCCATATTTAAGGTGGGTCTTCCCATCCCACTTAACCTAATCTAGAAGGTTCCTCCTAGGCATGCCCAGAGGTCTGTCTCCTCTGTGATTCTAGATCTTGTCAAATTGACAATATTAACCATCGTGGGAGCTGTTAAAGACTATAGTGAGAGGTGGGGCTGGGACATTTCAAGCTGTGTTAACAGTGGGTTAACTCTCCTCTGCTCTTAGAAGGGTGAGGGGTAGAGGGTGCGGGGAGGCAAGAGACGCCTTGAACACCAGTCCCTTCCTTGTCTGGGATATAATAAAATTCACCTTGACAAGCCAGGCTTGATACTGACTCCATCTGCCACCTCCTCCAGGACACCAGTGCAAAGCTGTGTGCATCACAGGAGGCCGTGTGGGCCCGGATGAACGGAGTGCAGGGGTACCTCCTTAGCCGGGTCTATAACAGGCACATCCAAGTAGGTGCAGAACACGAATGGGGCTTCTTCCATAATGCAGCAGAGAGGTTAAGGGTGGGCAACAGGAGACGGGGAGCCTCAGGCCTGACACACCTCCACAGGAGCAAGAAAGCGGGTCCCCATGTCACTCTGAGAGAGAGGAGAGAGACTAGGGTAAAGCACGCAGCCTTCTGGTACCCGGGAATTCGGGGTGACTAGCAAACCCGACACAACACAGCCCCTCAGCCCACCAATCCCAGCACCTTTACTAGACAGGCTTCAAAGAGTGTCTGTGGGAGAGTTTGAGAGAAAGTGTGGCATGGGCTGTGAGATGGAGGTGAACGCCCACCTGAGGCCACCACGCGAGCTGCTGGCAGGAGGGGAAGCAAGGCGGCCCGTGTCCGCCTCTACCTGCTGGGCTGACAAGGTCCCTCTGTCCCTGTCCAGGATCACGGAAGCCCTGGTCTGTTCTGGGAGCAGGAGCTGGAGAGCTTGCACCATGTCATTGAGCTGAAGAATGAGCGGATTCATGAGCTGGAGAGGGAGCTGCTCCTTGTGGACATGCTGGTGGGAGCAGGGGCTGCTTTCTGGGCATTTCCACTGTCAAGGGTGTGTGGGATGCTCCGGGTTGGTCCACACCAGCCTTGCTCTGCCACCCATGCAGGAGGCTGGTCTGACCTTGTCACTGGAGCCCTTGGCCCCTCTCGCTTCTGTAACTGGGCAGTGCTGGGGTCGGTAGCCTGGTTCATCAGGAGGGGCGACAGCTGTCACACTGTAGGCAGGGGCCAGGCAGACAGGAGGCCAGCCTGAACAAGGATGGGGCTGGGAACTGGCTTTGAGAACCCAGAGAAGAGCGCTCAGAACCCTGGGACAACACCACCCCCAGAACCTGTCCCTTTGTAAGAAATCTCCCCAGTCTCCCGTGTGCCAGACAACCCCAGGCCATCCCAAGTGTGCTCTGTGAGGGTGGGCTGTTTGTTTGTTTTTGTTTGGATGTGGAATGAGACAGAGGCTTTCTAGGTAGCCCAGAGTAGCTGGAACTCAACATGTAGCCCAGACTGGCTTCAAATTCACAAGTGCTGGAATCACAGGCTGGCTTCTTCTCTGTGAGTTTTGCTGACCCATTCATAAAGAAAAACATAGTAGACTAACTCAACTTTGTTTTGGGTTTTTTTAATTTTTTTGGTCTTTTTGAGACAGTGTCTCCCTGTAGCCCCAGCTGTCTTGGAACTATGTAGAAGAGGCTGGTCTTGAACTCACAGAGATCCACCAGCCTTGGCCTCCAGAGTGCTAGGATTAAAGGTGTGAGCCACTACACTCAGCAGAAATAACTTTTATACTCATTGAATTCACAGGTCAGGTTGTCACACTTGGCAGGAAGTGCCTTTATCCAGCCCTTGTTCTCAGTGGAATTATAATTAGCAGGCCTTTCTTAACGCTTTGGTTTTATTTTAGGTTAGCTTCTTGCTCCACAAAAGGAAACCCTAATCTAGAAAGAACCAGTGTCTGGGGGAGGTTATAACATGAGCTGTGTCCCATGACCTTGGCACATTTCCAGACTCCTTGATTTGTTACAGAAAGAAAAAAATCTGATGTTAGCGTTGAAAAATACCACCCTGCGACAGGAGATCGAGGACCTCCACTTTCGAGCCGGGAACCGGGCAACCATGTCAAGGTAGCTGTCCCCTGCCCCTTCCCCTGACCCTGTCCCTCCTGCCAGAAACCAAAGTTGGGAGAGACTCAGATGGGGAGGGATGGCAGGTGTGCCCAGAGCCTGTCTAGGGAGTATGACTCCTTTTTCCTTGGGAGTCAGGAGGCTCAGTTTCCCAACGTGAGGAAGAGGAAACAGGAAACTTGACCTGAATAGGCCTGCATGCAATGATTCAGTCCTAACTAAGTCTTTGTCACCAAGCACCAAAGTCCTGTGTCAGTCATAGGTAGTTGAATACCTGGCATATTTTCCTGTGGAATCGTCAGGATTCTAAGTGCTGGGTCCTATTACAGTCCTGTTTGGAGATGAGGAAACTAAAGTTCAGTGTGAGCCAAAGAGTCACCCAAGATGACCAGCTAGGCAGTGAGGCCGAGCCTGGAGCCACCCAGAGCTCTGCCTGTGAGGACTTGGCACTGGGCAACAGATAGAATTACCCCTCACATACAGGCAGGTGGCAGGGGTCAGGGGTGGGGTGGGAGGAGGGCTCTGAAGCAAGCTGGTGGCCTACCTCAGGAAGGCTTGCTGGGGGGCACAGGTTGGTCCCTGTGGCAGCTGCTTCCTCAGGCAACCCCTGCTCTGTCTGTACCACAGGCAGTTCTGGAAAGATGTGCTTCAGGTCCTTGAAAAGGGGTCACAGGATGGCCCACTCTGCAGCAGACGGAGGAGCCACTGAGCCAACTGGGTCCTTGGGGCCAGCAACCTCCACCTCCACTGCCCCCTGCTATACCACAGAGGTCTCCTCCTCACCTCGCCTTACAGAGATGGGACCTGGGCCCACCATGATGCTTGGACTCAGCTCCCACCAAAGACTCTGGAGAAGACAGTGAGAGCCACTCTATTGTTTTCTCAGCAAGGACAGGGTGGGGACAAGATGTGGGTGTAAGCGTGTAGCCAGCAACCTCCAGAGTGTGGCCATCAGGATCACCCCAAGAAGTGCCCTTCCTTTGCTGGCCCAGGAGCAAGCGAGTGGATGGAGTTTGTTCTCCCTCCCCTTCTCGCTCTTTCTAGGTCGTTCCAAGCCTGTCCGAAGGTACCCAAAGCCATTTGGGGCCATCTGACAAAGAGGAGCCAACCCCAGTCCGCAGGTCATCAACTTGGCTGACAAGTCACCAACCTATCAACTTATTACTGCACCAATACTTCTCACTCTGAGAAAAACGGTAAAACATACAAGCTAAGGAAAATAAATACAATATTGTTTTATTACCTGGAGGGGCGGGGTCTCCCCAGGTAGCCTAACCTTGAACTCATGCCTCAGCCTCCTGAGTGCTGGGATCATGAGCATGTGCTAACATACCCAACTCGATAAAGGACTGAATTTGCCCCAGAGATAAGAACTATTAATATTTTGAAGCATATTTATCTAAAGTTTTAATGCAAAAAATTATTTTGTTAAAAATTAAATGGAATATACTTTTGTGGTTTTTTTTTCACATTTTTTGGTCTTCTTTCTTTCTTTCTCTCTCTCTCTCTCTCTCTTTTCTTTCTTTCTTTTTGGTCTTTTTAAGACAGGGTCTCCCTGTAGCCCCAGTTTTTGTGCTTTTTTTCTTTTTCACATTTTTTGTTTGTTTTTTTTTTTTCCTTTCTTTCTTGCTTTTTGGTCTTTTTGAGACAGGGTCTCCCTGTAGCTGTCCTGGAACTCACTATGTAGACCAGGCTGGCCTTGAACTCACTGAGAGTTCTCTGCCTCCCGAGTGCTGGGATTAAAGGCGTGCACCCCCATGCCCGACTTTTCCTTATTTTCTACCCCCGCTGCCTCACTGAGCTTTAACTTTTCTTTTGTTTTTGATTTGTTGTTTCATTTTGTGGAGACAGGATCTCATTCAGTGCAGTCTGTCCTCAGACTCACCGTGTAGCCCAGACTGAAATTGAACTCCAGTCCTCATGTCTCAGCCTCTTTAGTGCTGGAATTACAGGTGTGTGCCACCACACCTAACATTTTTTAATTTATTTTATTTTTTATTTATCTTTTTTATTTATGTGTGCATACATGTCCACATACATACAGGTGCCCGTGGAGGCCAGAAGACGATGTCAGGTTCCCTGGAGCTGGAGTTACAGGCGATTGTGAGCCACCGGATGTGGGTGCTAAGAACCAAAATCAAGTCCTGTACAAGAACAGTCCAAGCTGTTAACACTCAGCTACTTTCCAGCCTCCTCTTTAGTCTTCTTAAGTTCCACCTAGTACGCCAGGGCTTGGCTCTGCCACAGTTTATCTATTCCTTGTCAAAGGAATTTAGGTCTTTTCAGGCTTTGCTACTGCAAACAAGCTTGCAGTGAACAAGGTTGGCATTTCAAGGCTCAAAACAGCTCCTTTTCCTTGAAGAAAATGTGTATGAAACCCAGGTATGGGAGTACAAGCCTGCAAACCTAGCACTTGGGAGGCTGAGGCAGGAGGCTTGCTGTGAGTTGAAGGACAGCCTGGGATACATAGTGAAATCTTGTTTCAAAAGATAGAAAGGAGGGGCTGGCAAGATGGCTCAGAGGAGGAGGGTGCCTGCCGCATGGCCTCATGGCCATTTGAGCCCCAGGACCCACAGGGTGGAAGGAGAATACAAACTCCTGCAAGTTGTCCTCTGACTTCCAATACATTCAGAGAGAGAGAGAGAGAGAGAGAGAGAGAGAGAGAGAGAGAGAGGAAAAGAGGAGTAAGCAAATAAAACATATTAAAAGTAATTAAAAAGAAGTAAAGGAAGGATTGAGGGATAGAGAGAGGCAGGATAAAGGCAGTCACCATGTGAACTTTTCATCATGTATGTTTGTGGCCTAAGTAAACACTCAAGCCTGGATCCATCCCACCACAGCCTTTTGCTTCCCCAAACCTGAGTATGACCTGGAGATCCCTCCAGGGCTCTGGGGACTCAGGCTCCCCCTACACAGCAGGGACATGGACAGTCATTCTGGGGGCCCTGAGACAGTGTTGGGGAACCTGCAGGGAGCTGAGCTTGGGCTCTGCTCCTTGCCCTGCCACCTGCTGGCTGACTGCACAGCTCTGGCCCAGGTTCTCCATCTCTCTTCTAAGGAAAGAACAGACAGGTCCTTAACTATTTATTATTATTATTATTATTATTATTATTATTAATTCTTT